AGAAGGAGAGGGACAGATATAGAATGACCGTACTCATTTGTGGAATATAAAATACCATAATATGAGACTAACATCCAAGGACAATACCTGGATTTTTCTTCTGGAACTTTGTGGCCGCCAGGGTTCATTTGCAGTAGGCAGAGAGAGAACACCTGCTCCATCTGAGGTGCCCCAGTGAAATCGGCTTGGCACGGGGTCCAGAGAAATCTTTAGTGAGCTGCTGTCTTCTGGGATTCATTCTTGAGTCTCTGGATGAAGGCCGTTAATGCACTTACATGGCACCTGGAGACAGTTCGTGGGCATGACAGCCAGGAACCGGGAGGGGCAGAGAGACCTGGAGGGACAGCTTTCGTCCCCGCAATGTTACCTACCACTTTTTTGTTTGTTTAAGGGAGACTCCCAGCATTGCTCAGTGGTCACTCTTGGCTATGCTTAGGGACATGTCTGGGGCCATTGATCGAATTGGGGTCAGCTATGTGCAAGACAAGTTCCTTAACCTCCGTACTCTCATTTTGAGCTGTGGACCCAAAAATTCTATTCAGAAAAGACATTTGTGTTCCTGTGTTCACTGCAGGTCTATTCACAATAGACAAATACACAAATCGTCTGTGTGCCCAAGAATAGAGGAAGATGCTGTGGTACGTCTACACACGGAATATTACTTGGCTGTAAGAAAAGACAAAATCATGTTTGGAGAGTGTTGTGCTAAGTGAAGTTAGCGACAAGGAGGACAGACACAGAGTGAGCTCTGTCCTATAAGGGATGTAAAAAGCATAGTAAGGCAGTCACAGATGCCTAACAGCAACGGAACCTGAGAGCTGGCCTGCAGAATTAAGCTGAGCCTGTGCGCGTGCGTGTTTGTGTTTCTTTGTGATCACATGCGTGGTGTGTCTGGGATGGAGGTGGTGGGAAGCAGACACTGGTGGTTGGAGGCTGTGGTGTTAGAACGTTCAGCCTAGGTTTTAAATTCATAGTGCTTTTAAGGGAAACAGACACTTTCCCTTTCTTTGAAGTCAGCTTTTTTTCTGATCCTTAGAAGCCATCCCAGGGTTGGATGCGGGGCATTCCCCCGTGCTGGAGTGGGGGCGGGCTGTGCTCGGTCACTCAGCCCATTTCATGTATGCCAGGCATGTGCTCTCTGCCACTTGAACAATTTCCTCAAATTTGAAAATAGAAACCCCTTAACTGGAATAATAAAATCATTTATCTGTTTCAAAATACTGTGTTTTCTTTCCTTGGTTACAATACAAGTTATTCTAGGAGCGGAGGTGTAGCAGAGGTCAAGGAACATGCCTCGCAGGCCCTGCTGTTGGCCAGGGCTCTGTCCCTGTGCTGCCATGTCCCTGAGCATTGCATCCTGGGGCTACCTGGACAGTCTCCCCACAAGGCCCCATCTGCACGTGTCTCTGGGCCCTGGCATTGAAATTCTGCCTGCTTGATTCAGAATTTCATAGTGGCTCGGCACCACCCCTCAGCACCACGTACAAGGCCACTGCCCCCTCAGAAAGCAATCTACATCATTTTGTATCTGCCCAGAATAATCTCAAATTATTTGATAACCATTAATACTTTATTATTTCATCTATAATTTTAGTCTATCATTTGACCGTTTTCAGTTACTTTTTCTTACTCTTATGAGAAATTTCTTAGTAAAATAACATGCATTTATTGAGAAATGTCTGTTGTCATAAGGCTTTTTCAGAATTTACTCATTTTGCTCTCCTGCAGCAAATTGTAATAGCCAGTTTTTAGTACAATCTGTGACATACCTTTTCCACTTGCGCTAATTTGTTAATGTGCTTTTTCTGAAAGTTGAAATTTTAACCTATAAAAGTTACAAAAATGTATTTCCATTAAATTGACAGTTCTGAGGCTGCTGTTCCTCAGTAGTAGAGTGTGTGGTGTCTGTGCACACGTTCAGACAGGTGTGCACAGACACACACCCTGGCCCTTTATAATAAATGAAGAATGGTTTCTCCCTGAGTATAGAGCTGTGTTTTGACAATAATAATTTTTGGGGTGGAGGGTGGCAGTCATCCCTCGTGGTCAGTGCTAACTTCTGGAGCTGCAGGGTTTGAACCAGGACCTTCTGCGTGCAAAGCATCTCCAGCCTTTCGAGCCATCCTACTGACCCCCATACAGTTCTACAAGAGGAAAGGCATTTCAGGGACTGGAGCAGTTTACAGCCAGTGGGGCACTTCTCTTGATCATGGTCGACCTGTGTTTGAGCCCCAGCACCTCCAGGAGTCCGGGCCCTTGAGCATCGCCAGGAGTGATTCCTTTTGTGTTTGGGGGCCCCAGGGTTTACTCTGGGAATGGTATTACTGGATCATATAGAAGCTCAATTTCTAGTTTATTGAGGAGAAGCCCAAATTCTACAGAGTAGACTGTCTCTCTTAACATTGATGTTCAGAAGAATCAAGAAATGAAACTTTTCACTAATTCCCTTATTATATAGGGCCATTAGGGTATTAATTTCTTGCCATTGTTGATCCTTTGGTTGTAGACAAAGGGTTTAGGATGTAAAAGGTAGCTCTGTGGGGATGTTAGGGCGTACCCTCAGTAACAGGAGGATATGTGAGTCTTTTTTTTAATTTTTAAATTTTTTTTTTTTAACTTTTGGGTCACACCTGGTGATGCACAGGGGTTACTCCTGGCTCATGCACTCAGGAATTACTCCTGGTGGTGCTTGGGGGACCTTATGGGATGCTGAGAATTATACCTGGGTTGGCCGCGTGCAAGGCAAGCGCCCTACCCGCTGTACTATCACTCCAGCCCCAGATATGTTAGTCTTGATTGACAGCCTAGGCCACCATTTAATTGGGCACAGATAATTAATAACTAGTCTCCCATTTTAAGGTTTTCAAAAATGACTTTTTCCTTTTCATGCTTCATTTTTTTTAAAGAAGGATTTGTCATTCATAGTGCTGTTGATGATGGTTTCGTGTGTGCATCATTCCGTCACCACATCCTCCAGCAGAGTGCCCGCTTCCCTTCCCAGCATCCCAGCTGTGCGTCTTCTAGCCCACACACGAGGGAGGTCACTCTGTGTCTGCCCTCTCTGACGGACTCCACTCAATGCGAGCCCCTTTAGTTCCGCCCGCAGTGGCGAATCGCGGCTCTCATCCTTCCTCGTGGGTGCACAGTGCTCCATTGTGTAGATGTGCCACAGCGTCTTTGTTCATTCATCGTGTTTGTTTATGTGTCCAGCTCCGCAGCGCACATAATTAGCTTGCTCCTCAGGGAGAAAGAAACCCTGACAACATTGAGTTGTCTGGATACAGATCCCACACCACTGGGAAGGGCGTATGTCAAAACAGGCTGAAAATAACTAGTGTTTGTGGGAATGCGGTGAGAAAGGAACCCACTTGCACTGTTGGTTGGTTCAGGGAGAGCAATATGAAGATTTTTCTTGGAAAAGTGAAAATAGAGCTCCCTTTAGGCCCGGCAATGCCAGTGCTTGGCAAACTCCCAGATACGAGAGCATTCGCTTCTTAAACCTTCACCTCCTAGAAATGAAAAACGCAGATCAAGCATTTGCATGTGATGTCATTGTAATTTCCCTGTCCCTCTTTTCATTTTTTCATAGTTCGGTTTCAGATATTTAAGAAATGCAGAGATCGCCTAATTTGTACTCCTTGCTGTGCACTTAGAGCTTGTTTTGTGGGAGATGGCAGTGTGATTGTCATTATTCTTTGGTTACAAGTGTTTTTGTTTTTAACAAGTTGGTGTACAAAAGAATGTATTGGTACTAACTTGCAAGTTGCTTTTGTTAAAAATGGTTTTACCCAATTTTTATTCACAATCACCGTCATGATCATCCTGTTGTTCGTCTATTGCCTCGAGCAGGCACCAGTAACGTCTTCTTCTTCCTAGCTCTGAGATTTTAAAAGAGCCATATTCAATGCTCTTTCAGGGCTAGGAGAATGAGACCTATCATTGTTACTGGCATTTGGCGTATTGAGTACGACACGGGAAGTTTGCCAGACTCTGCTGTAATTTTTATTCAATCCTGGTATTTGCTTATTGATCTGCTAAGATATGGATAGACAAATACATTTACTTTTATTTCATTCTTTGGTTTTGTTTTGAGGCCACAGCTGTTGGTGCTCAGGGCTTACTCCTGGCTCTGCACTCAGGGATCCCTCCTGGCGGTCTCTGGGGATTCTGTGGGGCCCAGGGGCCACTTTGTGCATCTTCTTCAGTGCAGCGATCAGTTTCCTCAAGGTCGTGGCTGCTCTGTTTTTCAGGCACTTCAAAATGGAGATTTATTTTCCAGAGTCATTGGACTTCACTTTATTTTAATGAAATCATGTTTAAGATACTTAGCTTTGGGGCTGGAGAGATAGAACAGCAGGTAGGGTGCTTTCCTTGTACTTGGCTGACCTGGGTTCAGTCCTCAGCATCTCATGTGATCCCCTGAGCACCGCCAGGAGTGAGCCCTGAGTGCAGAGCCAGGAGGAACCCCGAGCACTGCTGGCTGTGGCCCCAAAGCCAAAATGAAATGATAGCTCTCTTTCTCTAGTCCCCCACCCCCAAATATTATCCCATAGTTTAATTACCTTTCCCCTTTCATTAAATAAACATCTTTTTCCCCTCACACTGCCCATTAATTTGAATTGGGAAGTATCATCTTTAAGGTTTAGGCTACTGATACGTGGTGATTTTTATTCCATTTCCCAAACATTGGCACCACTAATAAGAATTTCACACAAGTGGCAGTATGCATACTTTTAATTCAAAGGGAAAACTGAAAGGCTTTTTGAATTAAAATGTGAAAAGAAACCAGTGTTTGTACCTGTGGGCACAGTGGCTTTGAAAAATGGCTCCTTAAAAAAACATTTCCTTGTGGATTTCAAATCAATCCTCTTCAACTCACCACTGACAGTGATCGTCTGCAGAGCCGGGTTTGCCGTGTGGGCACTGCTCGGCCTTCTTGTGATGCCGTTCCTGCGCCTCCTCGGGCTGTGTGCACTCACTGATGGTTGCTCTCCTTGCAGTTACCGCTGTGATGACTTCGTGGTGAATGACACCAAGTTGGGACTGGTGCAGAAAGTAAGAGAACATTTACAGAACCTGGAAAAGTAAGTAACAGGCCTGGGGAAAGGACGGGGACGGATGGGATTGAGGGGTACTTTAGAAAGCTTTGACATTTTATTTATGATTTCATGTATTTGGTGTCATTGAAATGTTATTGTAAGCAACAGTAGCTGCATTTGGCTTCCTAAAATTGCCTGTAGATAGTGATCATAGCTCTGTACTAATTTCATTGAACATTTGTCATCGGCTAGATCCAGAGGCCTAGGAGACTTTTTAGTTACTGTTCACCAGTTTATAAACAACTTGACCTAATTGTCAGGCATAGTGAGGGCTCAGGGAAAGGTTGAGAAAGAGTATAAAATCATCATAGTTGCCTTGGGTATTAGCAAACCCGTTCTATATCTGTATGATAGCATGAGGTATTAACTTATTTTCTTACTCCTTTTGCATGGGTGCAGAGTATCACTGGAATGACAAGATGTAAGGTGCTTGTAAAGAAATTAAAGTTCTTACATGAGCAGGGTTTTTTTTTTCTTTTCCCTCTTTTGCGATAGCCAATCAATTATTAGAATAATATTACCAGGGCAAAATTTCAACATTTTTTGAAACCAAATAGCAATGATTTTCCAAAGTATCAAGCGAAATTTGTACAAATCCCTCCAGATTGTTAAAATGCTACCTCATCATTTCAACCGTTGGTAATACCCTTAGTAAACTTAAATGTATAGTCAATAGGATTATTTTAAAAGTGCAGGTACATTGAGAGAAAATAACCTAAGTTCTTCTGATGACACACAGATAGATTTTGTTACTGTGATCTTTATGCACGTCTCATTTACAAAGCTGATAAGAGGAGAAACATCAGTTACTTTAAAAGAAAGCTAGGGGCTGGAGACAGGTGTCGAGGTGCAGACATCCACTGATTCCCCAATGCATGCACCCAACTATTTTGTTTGTTTTTTTGTTTTTATTTTGGGGCCACATCTGGTAATGCTCAGAGGTCACTCCTGGCTCTGTACTTAGGAGTCACTCCTGGAGGTGCTTGGGGGACCATCTGGGATGCTGGGGATTGAACCCGGGTGGGTTGCTCAGCACGTGACCCCTGTTGATCCATGGACACCCTAGAGGTTCCCAGAGCAACCTCAGTGTATGTCCCCCAGGCTGCTCCTGCCAGGGGCAGCTCTGGTGACCTCCGCACCCATGGCCAAACAGTGGCACGTCCCCAGGCCCCGACACCGAACTGTCTGGTTGACAAGGATTACTCAGAGAAAACTCTCTGGGTATCCTGAGCACTGCTTGGGAGCACCCCCCCCCCCAAATAAAATTAAACTAATAAAACACTTAGGGTTAAAGTAATTTTTGGCCTTTTTAAAGGACTTTATTGACTCCTTTCTCCCTTTTCCCTTTTTTGAGGGGTGGGGGTGAGGGACCACAGCTGGCAGTGTTGAAGGATCTGTCTGGGGTTTGCGTGTGCAAAGCCCATTGAGCACTCTCCAACCCAGCACTCCTCTCTCTTTCAAAAACGATTCTTCCTTTCTTTTATTCTTTTTTGAGACACACTTGGCAGTGCTGAGGGTCTACACTCTTGGCGGTGCTTAGGGAACCAGATGTGGTGCCAGGGATTGAGCCCAGGTTGGCAAAACAATTGCCCTCCCTGCTGTATCTGGCCCTCTTCCTTTGAACAGATAGCAGAAGGAAGCTTAACTCGGATCAGAGATTCAGCTATAGGTATACTCATCCAAAATATTTAATTTGTTTGAAATTTTCACAATTAACTGTGAAGTAGGGAGAAGTGGTAATTTATGTATTATCACTCTTTAGCATGGTGATTCTATTTTAAACTTCCTGCTATACTCTTTGTTAAAGAAAGTAAGACAGCTCCAAATTTTTTTTTCTGCCACTTTACAGTTTTGCTTCTAACACAAGACTGCCTTCTCAATTCAAGTAAATAATCAGTGATTTGTAGGGAAATGAGGGCATTCAGGAACCCTCATATACCAGCTGGAGAGAACTTTACTGGGCTCAGTGCTTGTTCGGCATCAGGAGCCTAGTCTCTGCCCCCAGCACTGGGTAAGGCCTCCCGAGCACTGCCCCGGGACTAGCCCTGAGCACTGCTAAGTGTGACCCACCCCAGTCAGCTGTGCACATTCATGCAGTGAACGAGTCTCTGATTTCTGCTGATGAGTCATCAGGCAAAAAATGTCATGGACAATCTTACCCACACTTGGTCCCACTGAAAAATCTACCTTAAAATTCTTTTCAAAGTTGGTTTTTATTATCAAATGTTAGCCTCTGGTCACACTCTTATTTTAGAAATATGGCTCTGTTTGTGTTTTATTAACTCTGGGCTATTCTTCATATAGCCTGTAGCAGTACTGTGTCATAGAGCTTTCTGAACTGAAGAAAATATTCTGAGATCTGCCACGTACAATGTGGTAGCTATTTCCCACAGATGACCTGAAAGATGGCTAATGTGAACACCTGAATTTTACAGTTTATTTTTTTATTCTTTCGCTTTCTGGGCCCAGCGTTCCACAAGGGTTACTCCTGGATCTGCACTCAGGAATTACTACTGCCCAGGGGACCATATGGGATGCTGGGAATCGAACCTGGATTGGCTGCCCGCAAGGCAAATGCCCTTCCTGCTGTACTATTGCTCCAGCCCCAATTTTACACTTATTTACGTTTAATTTAAATTTGTGCAGCCTTATCTAGTGAGTGAATGCTGTAACATACCCTGTGGGTTAGGGCGGTGGGTTTCAGCTTTTGCTCAGCTCACCCGGCCAATCTGCAGGGATAAAGAGATTGAAAACCATTGACCTAGAGGAGTCTGCTGTTTTGTGAATTACTAGGGATAAAATTTAATAAATTTTATTTTAGAAACCCAACTGCTTTACATATACATAGGATAAAACTCAGCATTAAGGGTCAGATGTTGTCACTAAGTAGTTCATATGCTGTACTTGTGATTCAGCTTCTTCACTTTGAGTTTTTCAGACTAAATACTAGAATATTTGGAATTGGTTTCACCTTTGTTGTCACTGATATTCCTGGGAGTGATACCCAGTTTTCAAGAATGTTTTCTAAGAATAATTTTATATTTGAAGCAAATATCACTAGATTTGATGCTCCGATGCACACATGCCCATGTTTTTCTTTCTTTGTTGGGGTGTAGATTAGTCCAGGGTGACGTGTTCTCTACCACTGAGTCAGGCATGATTTTTATGGGGGCCACACCCGGCACTGTTCAGGGCTTTCTCCTGGTTCTGCACTCAGGAGTTAATCCTGGCGGTGCTTTTAGCGGGACCACATGGGTGTCAGGGATTCAACCCAACCAATGGGTTGGCTATGTGCATGGCAGGTGCCCTCCCTGCTGTATTATCTCTTTGGGTCCACACGTAATAGTTTTTAAGGGAGCCTAGTGATTACTTTGATAAATTTTAAACAAAATACTTTGTTCTTTAAGAATCACTTTGAAATATTTAAATTTAAAATTTCTGTGCTGATTGAGAATTATTTTAGATCCCTTTGAACATAGATACATGGAATGAACCTATGATTTGTTACTCTCAATTTAGGTTGTAGTGTAATCTATTTTGAGAAATAAGTGAAACATGATACCTTTCCCACAGAAAGTAGCAGAGTGATTTGAAATATTTAATCTCAGCAATCATGTCAGATCAGACTTTCGCTTTTGTCACGAGCAGTGAGTATAATCTTAAAGCGTCACTGTTGGTCACTACAGACAGAGAGGGCGGAGAGGGTCGCTTCACAGGCTGCGTCTGTCCTGCCAGGTTTTCTTGGAAGGTTGTAGTGGTGGTTCTTTCGGGTCCATCGTGCCGGGAAGCTGTGGGAGTTTCTGAGGGCAGTGGAGGCTCCTGACTTGAGCATCCACTGGCCACATGGGCCTGACCTGATAGACTCGGCAGCCCGTGTTCCATTGGCTGAGCATCACTGGGTCAGTTTCCTGGGCTCCTGTGTCCCATGTATGTATCCTGCTGACTGTCTATTTCAACAGCTCTGCCTTCACAGCCGACAGACACAGGAAAAGAAAACTTCTGGAAAATTCATCACTAAACAGCAAGTTATTAAAAGTAAATGTAAGTAATTTTCTTCAAATATAAGTAGACTAGTCACTGGTTTATTAGAAGTCATTATCGATGTTTCTCTTTATAAACACTTGTAAATGTGTGCCTTGGATTTAGTATCACTGTCACTGTCACTGTCCTCCCATTGTTCGTCGATTTGCTGGAGTGGGCCCAGTAACATCTCCATTGGAGACTTTGTTGTTACTGTGTTTGGCATATCGAATACATCACGGGTAGCTTGCCAGGATTTAGTATATTTTGCAAAATATTTTCCCCATGCACAGTGGCTCCTGATGTGACTGGGCCCTCCGGTTGACTCTCCTGTCAGCTGGGAGTGGGGAACCTCTCCTCAGCACCTGCCGCGCCCTGCTCCCCTTCCTGCGGGAGCCCAGGTCTCGGCTTCCTTCTGTTAGAGGTCCCTAGCGCAAAGTATGCTTAGGACATCATTAATAGTCTCATCATGAAATACTATGCTTTCTCCTTCTGAGGAGCCCCTCTAAGCTGTTCATGCGTTAACAAGATGTGACAGTCACCACGTAATTTAAAATTCGTCAGTAGCCCTGCGGTCAGCTGTCATATTGGTTGTGTTTGGACAGATGCTTGACTGAAGCATTAGTGTTGTGTGGAAGATGAGATTGGTGTGGACTTAGGGCTGTGCGTCCTCTGTGGCGTGACATGAACTTCGCTGCTTGCAGAGAAATGAGAGGACATGAGGCATTTCGTAGGCAGTGGAGGGACTGGAAGTCAACAGCAGCAAACACTAGGAGGTTGACGACTGCCTGGGGACAGGGGCTGCTCTTCTGACCGAGTCCTGCTTCTTCATGGACTTGCCGGCTGTCATTGTCATAGGCAGCGGAGACACATTCTTGCTCTGAACTGGAAAGGTTAATAGAGACGGAGCACTGTACAGACTCAGTGCAGTTTCCTGAAAGGCCCCACAAACCAAATGCTGTTCAGATTCACTTGTCATAAGTAAAACTCACCAGATAGCCAATGCAACCCTGGGAGAAAAGTTGGGTGGCTTTTTTCCCTCCAACTTGAAATTGTACCATAAAGCTTTTGTCATCAAAACTGTGATGTACTGGAATAAAGAGAATTGTGGGCCCGGGGATTGGCCCTCAGGGTATGAATAGCGAATCTTTGACAGAGGCCTGATAGTATGAAGAGAAACAGGAAGGACTTTCAGCAGCGGGGCTTGGGAAAACTGGTTAGCTATGGGGCTAGGGGAGGAGAGTGTGGGTCCCTGTCTCACACCAAACACAGAAGTTAATTTCAGATGGAAGAAACACCTTGCTCTGAGACTCAAATGCATAAACAGCATTGAGGAAAAGATAAGTAGATCTCTTGGGCTGGAGTGATAGCACAGTGGGTAGGGCTTTTGCCTTGCACGCAGCAGATGTGGGTTTGATTCCCAGCATCCCAGATGGTCCCCTGAGCACTGCCAGGAGTGATTCCTGAGTGCAGAGCCAGGAGTAACCCCTGTGCATCGCTGGGTGTGACCCAAAAAGCAAAAAAAAAAAAAAAAAAAAAGAGAGAAGCAGATCTCTGTGATACAACCCTAAGGGCATCTGCAGTGGCTCAGCACCATTGACCAAGCAGACAGAAATAAAAGTAAACAAAGGGGATTGTACTATCAAATTGAGAAGCGTCTACACTGCCAAAGAAAGGATTGACTAAAATAAAAAGATACCACAGATTGGGAGAAAAATACTTGATTACACATCTGACAAAGGGCTCACAAAGCTTAATAAGAAAACAAACTCATCGAAAAATGAGGAGAGCTGGACAGTCCCTCAAAGAAGATGTAAGGTGCTGAAGGGTGTATGAAGGAGCGCTCTTCGTGACTCACCGTCAGGGAGTGCAGAACAGCAACAGAGACAGTGCCTCACGCAGAGGCAGCAGAAACAATCCGTACTGGTGGTGCAGGGAAAGTTGGTGGGTGAAGAGTTTTATAAAAAAAATTATGAATTGAGCTTCCTTATAACCCAATAATCCCTCTTCTCTTTTCGGTATCTTCCTCCCCACCCCCACCCCGCACACACACACACACAAAATAAAAACCAATCTTATTTTAAAATGACATTTGTACTCCTGTTTATTAGCACACTATGCATAATAGCCAAGATCTGGAAACAGTCCAAGTGCCCGAAAGAATGGCTGTATGAAAAAGGAAATTCTGGTATATGTACCCAGAGCGTGATTCTACTCAGCCGTAACAAAGATAGAGTCAGGCAGTAACGGGCTCCGTGCAGGGAACTGGAGGTGATGGTGGCGAGAGGGTCAGTCTGGAGGAGAGGGATGACTCAGGAAGATACGGAACAGTAGGGAGTAAGTAGCATGGCCAGTGGTACCAGGTGACAGCCAAACCCCGGGAGTTGCCCACACTTGGGTTTGCTCCTAGCGTGGGGTAGGACCAGGCTGGTTGGAGACAGACTCTGGTGGAAGGATGTTGGCAGTAGGTCTGGGGCCGAAACAGCATATGCCTGAAACTTTGTTAGTAACAGTTTTGTAAATCACAAAGCTTAACTGAAATTTAAAAAATTTTACGTGGTACTTGCCTTGCACGTGGTTGATCTGAGTTTAACTCCTGCACCTGTGTGGTGCCCTGAGCCCCGCTGGGAATGACCAGATCTTTGAGTGCAGAATCTGGAGTAAGCCCTGAGCACTGTCAGGGGTGGCCCCGAAACCAAATAAAATCAAATGCAGATACACATTCAGACCGTCCAGATTATGGGTAGAGATAGTGTGGACTGGTTTTATCTCCTGGTTATAGTTTCCAGATATCATGGTGCATTTGTCGAGCACCATGTTTTAATGATAGTTTTAATGGTAAAGGTAGTTTGGGAGGCAAAATACTTAGATTGTACATATTTATATTTTTCCATTTTGTGGTATTTTCACAGGTTCTTATAAGAAACCGTTTTTGTCCAATTTTTGGCTGAACCAGTAGTGCTCTGGGGTTGCTCAGTTTGTGCTTAGGGTTTACTCTCGGCTCAATGCTTGGGGATCACTCTTGGTGGGTCCCAAGGACCATATGGGGGATTGGGTATTGAATCTGGGTTGACCATGTGCAAGGCAAGTGCCCCACCTGCTGTAATACTGCTCCAGTCTCATTGTCTTTTCTTTTTCTAAAGAGAAGACAAAAAGAAGTTTAAATAATAGCTTGTGCGCCTCCAGGGTGACGGGAGGGAACAGCAGGGCTGAGCTGGGTCTTGGTGTCTGCCCCAGCGGCCTCCCACAGGCACAGTGACAGCAGAGCCCCTGCAGCGCTCTGGCCCCGGGTGGGAGCAGCCAGATAGACCCTCAGCTAAGGCGGGCTGCCGGGCTGCCGGGAAGGGACGTGGTGCCTGTTTCAGGACAGGCACGGGAAGGAATGGGAGGCGGGTGGGTGGAGGTGCCTTCTTCATTGGGGAGAGGTACGGGGCCCTTCCGGGGTGCCCCCTCGCTGGAGAAGGGACCTGAAGGGGAGCCCCAACCTTCCCCAGCCCTGCCCAGCCCTGCCCGTGAAAGCAGCTTTTCTGCCAGGCAGCTTTGGGTGGCAGGAGATGATTTTCCCTGCATCCTGGTTCTTGTTTGGATCGTGGCCAGTCCCTGACAGGAACCTCATGCTGGTTTCCCCCAGCCTTCCAGAAGGCAGGCTGATCTAGAACAGGCCTTGGGTTTGAAACGAGGGGGAGGGAGAGAGGCAGAGGGGGAGGGGAAGAGGAGAGGGAGTCACAGAAATGGGTCAGTCCCTGAGGGACTTGCTGCTGAGTTTCACGTGATGCTTCGCTTTCTCACTGCGAACACTTGACCACTGTATCGCCTGTTTCGCAGGGAAGCACCACTGCCATTTGTGCCACAGGCCTTCGGAATTTGGGGAACACGTGTTTCATGAACGCGATCCTTCAGTCACTCAGGTATGTCTACACTGAAAGCTTAAAACCAGGAAGGGGGTGGGGCGCGGGGAGGGAACAATGCGCCCACTGGGAAAGCTTGTGGTCCCGAATGGAGATGTGTTTGCGGTTGCTTTTACCCTGTAAACTGGCCCCATTGGGGATTTTCTCTGTGGAGAAGAGCCCCTGGCCTCGGGTGTTCCCCAGAAGAAGAACTCTGAATTCCAGCTGTCGTCTTGGCTCAGCACAGCCTTGCCTGAGTGCCCCGTCCCTGCCCAGGTCCGAGCCCTGGGGGCCTCAGTTTGCCTGTCCAGGGAGGGCCTGGCTACCAGCACTTGGGCTGCGTTGGGGTTAGTGACATCAGCTTTTGTGATTCCTGCCAGATGGCAGTGCTGAGCTTCCTGGTACTGCGTTAGATTCTTCTTTTTTTCCCTCTAGATATGCATGGCTTCTATTCATTTAATTATTTATTTTTGGTTGAATTTCTGTGAGATACAGAGTTACAGAGTTGTTCAGGATTGGGTTCAGGTCACACACTTGTACCCTCAGCAGTGCATGTTCCCCACTGTCAATGCCCCCAGTTATCAGAATATTCAAGGAAAGACTCGATTTAGGATTCTTACTCTGCCACTAATGCTCATCATTTGATGGGGGGGCAACTTTCAACTCTCTCTTTCTTGTGCCTTAGTTTCTTCTTCATCGGGATAGTTTGAAATGTTCTCATGTAGGGCATTTGGGAAGCTTAAATATCCAGGCACCTAGTTAAGTATGAAGTGCTCAGAACAGTGCTCAGCAGTAAATGACTTTTAGCTGTTTGCTCAAAACTATTGCTCTTTAAAATGTTGGGATCAGAGATCAACAAGGTTTTTCTGTCAAATGACAGAGAGGAAATATTTCAGTTTTTTTCACAGTATAAATTAACTCTCTCGTGGGTGGGAAAGACAGCCCAACAGCCTGAGTACGCGCTTCGCATGTGGGAGGCCTAGGGTGGATTCCTGCTTCCTCCTGGTCCCTGAGGTCCTGGGAGTAACTCCCAGCAGTGCCAAAGACAGCAGCAAAGAAACCAAATATTCTCTCTCATCATTTCCTCTTTCCCTCCACTACCTTCCCTTTACCCTTTCCTTTAAACGTGTCGAAGCTCACATGTGTGGCTTTCGTTGTTGCCTGTGCTGTAGTTCACAGAAGCCAGGACCTAGGGACCTTGTTTGGAAACTTGATCCAGTCATTGGCTGAGTAAGGTCAGAAGTTGGATATTTGCAAGGACTTTGTTGTTTTTGTTCTTGTTCTGGGGCCATAGGGGGTTTCAGGGTTAATACAGGGGTTAGGGGTCTGCAAGGCAGTGCCCACCCACGCCACTGTGCTCTCTCTGCAGTCTCCGTACTTTCAGATTTCAGTACTCTGGTTTCAAAGGCCAAAGGAGTCTTCTCAGGGCTCTCTTGCTGGTGACCAAGGCACAGAGTGGGTCTGGCTCTCCAAGATGGTGTCTCTGACTATGGCACAGGGTGGGTCTGATCTCTCCAAAGGCGCCCTCTCTGTGCTTCCTGATTGGTCTCCCTGTCACACTGCATATATGGATTGAAATAGTATGGCTGCTTTCGTGATTGGTTTATGGTTGAAAAAATTACTGAATTATCTAGAACCAAGAGTTGTTGAAAACTGTGTGTGTGGAAGAGGGAGTTGAGGAATTGGTTTTAAGCTTTTTTATACAGCATACAAAGTTGTGTCTTTATGCTGTTTTATCAGTGTAAATAAGGAAACAGAATGAAGAAACTCCGTGTAAGAAACTGCGTTAAGTCCAGTTTAAGGAGAAGTGGCAAGACTGCGTTTTCAGGTTGAAAGATCACAATTCATGTGTTGTTTTCACAGAACTTTCTTTGCAGTCCTATTCTTTTTTGTTAATGATTTTCTTCCCTTTCTTTCAAAATAGTAACATTGAACAGTTTTGCTGTTATTTCAAAGAACTGCCTGCAGTGGAGCTGAGGAACGGGAAGACGGCCGGGAGGCGGACCTACCACACCCGGCGCCAGGGCGAGGGCAGCGTGTGAGTGTGCTGCGGGGGAACCCCCTCTCGGGTCTGGTTTCTGCCCACACCTGCCTCGCAGGGCTGACGCCTGGCTCTGCACTCGGGTCACTCCTGGTGCGGCCCGGGGACCATCTGGGGTGCCGGGTGTTGAGCCGGGCTGTTGCGTGTAAGGCCCTGGCTGCTGTGTTCTCTCTCCAGCCTGAACAAATGATTCTTAGTGTGTGTCATTGTATTAGGCGAGTCAGTAGGTCTATATACTTTTAAAGAAATATCTTGAAGCCACATTCAGTGTGAGCCACTGAGGGTCTCTCTCCGTCACATCCAAGTCTTCACGTGCCTCACTGGGGATTGTCATGACTGTTGAGGTTCTTCTGTTTCTGTTTGCCTGATAGCCTGGATAAATCCTAAATTTCAATTGCTGTTAGGTAATTTAAATTTAGAATTCTGAGTATGGAAGTGTTACGGATTTGGACATTCTAAATTGAACATCAGTATATGAATTACAGTTCAAGTTATAACTGAGACTGAATATCATTAGTCTTTGTAAAACTGATTTGTCTGATAGTGTTAAGCAAATTGGCCTTGAATAACACAATTTGTAGACATAAAGTTAATTACAGGCCAATTTTCGGTTGAGATGGAGAAGGGGGGATTTGACATGTGATTGTCGAGAATCAGTATGTCTTCAGGTTCAGGGTCAGCAGCTCTGTTTGGGCCTCAGAATATGTCATGTGATTTCAGTTACACTATGTCACTCAATTTTTTTGTACTTTAATGTTATTGAAATAGGGCTTTGATCTACGATTTTTATACACTGTAACTTTCTTCTGCTATCCCACTTCCAGAAAAGCCATTTTAAAATCCCACAGTGTTTTTTCTTAGGTAACTGGAGAGTGGGAGAGAACTTGCTAGGCCTCCCAGTATTCTAACATGTAGGGCCAGCCACCTCAGACTAGGTATTGGAGCAGGGAAGGGATTGACAGCACCGGAAGTGGTATTTTAAGAGTTTAACTAACTTCTTAAATTTAAATTTAAGAAATTTCAGAGGCCGGAGCCATAGTAGCCATAGTTAGTACACTTGAGTCAGGCACTTGCCTTGCTTGCTGCTGACCCGAGTTCAGTCCCCAGCACCCCTGTCGTCTGCCGAGCCCCAGCCGCTTGGAATTCTTTTCGAGTGCAGAATCAGGAGGGAGTCCTGAGCTTGACTGGTGTGGCGCCAAAACAAATACAAGGATTTTACTTAAGTCACTGCCTGAGTCGACGGTGCCTGTGCTCAGGGTCTCGGACAGTGCCTGTGCTCAGGATCTCATGCTCATAGGCATTAGGGTGGTGTGAACAGCAGTAGAAAGATGGAACATATGTGTGCAGTGAAGTTAAGGCCAGTGGTAGTCGCCCTAGGTGTGTTGGCATTATTTAGCGTTAGTTTAAATCACCACAAAGTCAGCCACAGTTGAGAACAAGAGATCAGCTTCAGTAACCAAAATAAAAAATGTGGCTGTAAAGGTGGCAGTCTGGAGGCTGGTTGGGAGACACCGGGGGTGGGATCAGTGCTGGGGACCCTGGTGGAGGGATGGAGAAACGGGGGACAGGATCGGCGCTGGAATATAGCATGTCCAAACTATGAACAGCTTCATAAATCATGGTGCTTTGATAACAGAAATAAATAAACCAAAAGAACTGCAGTGGCAGCCTTAAAATATTTATGCAAATAAAGATCCTTCAGCAAATGGAGGATACTCTTTTAGAAGAAATTGCCTCTGGCTATCTCAGGTAGACAGAAAAATGAGCACTGGACGAGCCTGGGGCTTGGTGCATGACCCCAGCTGTGCGGCCCGCACGCCGCTTTCTGTGGCACCTCCTTGCAGTTCCATTCCTGAGCTAGTGGACAGCACCACTGGCCCTGGGTGGACACTGCTGTTGAGGCTGCCCTACCCTTGCTGTTGGTCTTTGCTGCTAGAAAGGTTTTGGTCCCACTTTCTTTGTGTCTCTAATTCCCGATTCAGAGTCAGAAGTCAAGTCCTGACCTCACAAATCGAGTATCTACACGGTTTCTCTGTTAGGAGACCAGCCCACTCTCACTGGCAGACCTGAGTCAGGGAATCCTCAGATCTGGGGAGAGGATTCTGGAGCTGCAAAGTCAGAATCAGGCGTATGTGCCAGGCGCCTCCTGGGCACCAGGGTCTGAAGAGGAAGGCGCTGAAATCTCTGGGTAGCAAGTCCTGCAGCTCTGTGGGCAGAATGAGGCGGAGTTTCTCAGACTAGCCTGGCACTAGACTAACACCCCCAACCGTGGGTCATGTTCTCACGCCAGAGCTGACCGTTCCCTTGGCTGTGTCACACAGTCAGCAGACACCTGGCTTTCTGTCCTGTCCCCCCCAGGGTGGATCGTGCCTCTGTGTGTTGAGGCGGGGCTGGAGTGCCTCCTGGTGTCTCCATCCCAGCCAGAGGAGCGAGGAGGGCTGGAGCAAGAGCCGGCTTTCCTCGTGAGGAATTTCCTGGGGGTTGGGCGCAGAGTCTTATGACCGAGGCTCATGTGCCATGCATGAAATGCAGTTTTTCCTGTGAGAGAGAGAGGACTGATGGGGGCGGTAGGTAGCTAAATAGAGCAGGTTCTTAAGAGACCACATGGATTTGAAAGGCCAGGAAGGGGCTGGAACGATAGCACAGTGGGAAGGGCGTTTGCCTTGCACGCAGCCGACCCGGGTTCGATTCCCAGCACCCCATATGGTCCCCTGAGCACCGCCAGGAGTGATTCTTGAGTGCAGAGCCAGGAGTAACCCTTGTGCATCGCTGGGTGTTCACCCCCCCAAAAAAAAAAATAAAAAGGAAAGAAAGAAAGGCCAGGAAGACATTGGTCAAAAATTCTTGTTGGAAACTAGAGAGGCAGGCAGGGAAGTGGCCCGGGGAAGGTCTGATTCGAGAATCCTTCAGTTTGGGCTTGAGTGCTTAGATACTGTTGCTCTGAGGTCCTGGAGTCCCTGGGCGGGGGTGGAGACTGTGTCTACGACTCAGGTCTGGGAAATGCAGCTAGGAAGAGACAGGAAGAAGGATGCAGGAGACGGAGAAAGGGCTCTGTTGTTTAAGGTTGTGTTTGCTTTTGTTTTTATTTCTGGGCCACACCTAGGGGTGCTCAGGACTGACTCCTGGCTATGCACTTAGGAATTACTCCTGGCATGGTTGGGGACTATATGGGATGCCAGGGATTGAACCCAGGTAGACCATGTGCAAGGCCGGTTCACTGCCCACTGTGAACGCTGGCCCTGTTTCATTTTTTTTAAGTGTGTATTTGTTATGTATGTTCATCAGTTTGACTTGTGACCTGTCTGTTGCTCTATTGTATAAGGGCTATAGCACACCCAGAGTTCACCAGAGAGTTAAGATCTTGCAATCTTCTATTTTGCTTTATTCAGTTTTTTCTTATAATTTTGATGAGAGAAGTCTCAGCCAATCATGAAATGTTATTCAGTGATCTTTCATTATGTAGTTTCTCTTAAGGTTTTAATTTCTGAGAACTTACTGATCCTTCTAAATGCAGCTTATTTTAATCACTGTTGTGTGTGTAATAAATTACCAAACACTTTGGAAGGATCATTTTTTTTAATCATGAATTTTGATGGATGGATGTACAGTTGGATGTTATGCATTGAAATAGTGACCTCATTTCTTCTTTTTCAGATCTTTGGTGGAAGAGTTTCGAAAGACTCTCTGTGCTCTATGGCAAGGTAGCCAGACTGCATTTAGCCCAGAGTCCTTATTCTACGTTATTTGGAAGATTATGCCAAATTTTAGGTAAGTGTGATTTAATGAAGGGCGTGTTTAGGCATTGATACTAATCTTTACACTATTCCAGAAATGGTTTCCAATAAAGTGATATTTTTTTTCCAGGGAGAAGAGAAAAAGTTGGCTATATTAGTCTTAAATATGTTTGTTTAATAGCTGTTGAAATGTCTTTAGAAAATGTCCTGTTATTTCAACTGAAAAAAAATCACGTATAATCAGAAATTTATTCTTAAGTTCACTCTTGTGGGATGCAGTTGCAGTGGGATTCCCTTTCCAGAGATTAACTAAAGACAGTCTGAGGAGGGAGGCATGGTGTGTCCTGCCCTCTGCCCCCATTGCTGGGGAGAGGGTCCCCTCCGTTGGCCTGCTTATACTGTAGGGAAATGTTTGGATTGCAGCAGGTTTGGGTTGCTGCAGGCCTCTGATAGCAGCCTTTGCCAGTTCTGTTGATTTGATCCATAGGACCAAGTCATGGATTTTCACTTATTCATCATGAGATGCATGCTTATTTTTAAAAGCCTGTATGCTGTAGTGTAATTAGTATATTTTGTTCTTTTGTCTAATTGTGCTTTGGATATAGGGTAGAACAGAAAAATGTCTAAAGGACAACTTCAGAGGGCTGAATTTGTTTGTTTCCTTGCTTGAAATGTGTATCCTTGAAGCTCTGACGTGAGTGGTGTTATACCTGGTCTCTGTTTGAAGAACTCTTCTTTCATTTATTTATTTTTTTATTTAATTTTTTTATTTTAGTGAATCACCATGAGATACATTTACATACAAACTTTCATGATTGCGTATCAGTCAAACAATGTTCAAGTACCCATCCCTCCACCAGTGCCCATTCTCCATCACCAATGTTCCCAGTATCCCTCCCCCACCCCCTCCCATCCCACCCGCTGCCTCTGTGGCAGGCACATTCCCTCTTACTCTCTCTGTCCTCTTGGGTGTTATGGTTTGCAATACAGGTGTCAAGCGGCCATCATGTTTGGTCCATAGTCTACTTTCAGCACACATCTACTATCCCGAGCAATCCTTCCAACCATCATTTACTTGGTGCTTCTCTCTCCTGGCAGATTCTGGCAAGCTCCCCGTGACATATTCGATATGCCAAACACAGTAACAACAAAGTCTCCAATGGAGACGTTACTGGGCCCGCTCGAGCAAATCGACGAACAACGGGAAGGCCTTTACCTTTACCTTTACCTCCTCTCTCCATCCCAGCTACCTTTTCCCCCAGCGCATGAGATCGGCTTCCAAGCCGTGGGCCAGTTCTCCTGACCCTTACTGTCCTTAGGTGTTAGTCTCCTATTATGTTATCTTATAGTCCACAAATGAGTACAGTCCTTCTATGTCTGTCCCTCTCTTTCTGACTCATTTCACTTAGAATGATACTCTCCATGTTGGTCCACTTATGTGCAAATTTCATGATTTCATTTTTTCTAACAGCTGCATAGTATTCCATTGTGTAGCTATACCAAAGTTTCTTTAGTAAGTCATCTGTTTTCGGGTTTTTTCCAGATTCTGGCTATTGTAAACAGTGCTGCAATAAACATTCAAGTGCAAATGCTATTTCTACTGTACTTTTTTCATCTCTGGGATATATTCCCCAGAAGTGGTATTGCTGGATCAAATGGGAGCTCGATTTCTACTTTTATGAGAAACGTCCATACTGTTTTTCAAAAGGGCTGACCCAGTCGGCATTCCCACCAGTAGTGAAGGAGGGTCCCTTTCTCCTCACATCCATGCCAACACAGGTTGCTCTTGTTCTTTTGGATATGAGCCAGTCTCTGTGGTGTGAGATGATATCTCATAGTTGTTTTGATCTGCATCTCCCTGATGATTAATAATGTAGAGCATTTTTTCTATGTGCCTTTTGGCCATTTGGATTTCTTCCTCGAGAAAGTTTCTGTTCATTTCATTGCCCCATTTTCTAATGGGATTGGATGTCTTCTTTTTGTAGAGTTCAACCAGGGCCTTTCATATCCTTGGTATTAACCCCTTATTGGAGGGTTTTTGAGTGGATATCCTTTCCCATTCTGTAGACTGTAGGGATCTTCTTTTATATATCATGTGGTTTCAGGCTGGGGAGCTTGCGGGGAAGAGCTCAGTGGGCTGAAGCACATCCTTTGTGTGCAGGAGGCCTGTGAGGCCTTGGCGTCACAAGGTTTCCTGAGCATCCCAAAACAGAAACAACAGGAGGGCCAAATTTTGTGATGTAACCATTCAGATTCTTTAAAGGATTCTTTAAAGTGCATTGGTGAAGGGATGGGTGTTTGATCATTGTATGACCGAGACTTAAACCTGAAAGCTTTGTAACTGTTCTCATGGTGATTCAATAAATGAATTTATAAAAATAAAAATTTTAAAAAATTACCCTGCTTCATTTAAAAAAAATAATAAAGTAAAAGCTATCCCCCTACTTCTACATCTGAGTCTGAATTTCCGAATCTGAAATTCTGAATTCTGAAATTCCTTACTTTATTTTTGTTTAGTAATGATTCCATTTATTGACTGCTTGCTGTTTGCCAGGTGCTTTAGGTGTTTTATGTCTGTCCTCATGCATTTGCAGACAGGACACTTAGCTGGTGGAGCTTGATGCAGCTTCCTGAGTGCTTCCTACAGTATCTGAACTCTTAGATTTCTTTAACATGTAATGAAAACTTTGCGTGTTTTTGAGATCTTGGCTGGGCTTTTGCTGATCAGTAACTATCGAGGTTTTCCTGCAACTGGAAGAGCTGTTTTCCTTGATTAGATGGAAGAAAGAGCTAACCCTTGCAGGACCCTGCACACCTGGGAGCGACCTGCCCATGTCCCCAGCTCCTGCTCCTGCAGGTGTGCAGGGTCCCACCATCACAGTGGTTGTGTGTAATGACACTGATTGCGTTTATGCTGCAGTCATAATTTTTTTAATGGGTTTTTTTTTAATGCCTAGAAAGTCCAGTTTTTTTTTCATGTAACCTTTATTAACATGACATTGTTGAGGGAATTTGATCTAATGGAATGAAATTTGAGGATTCGGAAATTCAGACTCAGATGTAGAAGTAGGGGGATAGCTTTTACTTTATTATTTTTTTTAAATGAAGCAGGGTAATTTTTTAAAATTTTTATTTTTATAAATTCATTTATTGAATCACCATGAGAACAGTTACAAAGCTTTCAGGTTTAAGTCTCGGTCATACAATGATCAAACACCCATCCCTTCACCAATGCACTTTTTCCACCACCAAAACCCTCAGTATACCCCCGTCTCACCCCCTTCCACTCCCCCTACCTGTGTGGCAGATAATTACCACATTGCTCTCTCTATTTTGATTACATTCAGTATTTTGACACCAGTCCCACCATTATTATTTGGAATTTTCCCCCAATGCTCAGAACTGCTGAAAAGGTAACATTAGACAATTTGTTTTCTATTGCTGATTATAAACAGCATATGATGTCTCATGGCCGCCTGATCTTGGAATTCTGGAATTCTGAAATTTTAATAATTAAGTCTGGAGAGATTTCTGCTAAAAGCCACTTTGTTCCAAGATTTTTTTGTGTGTCTCTGGGATCATTACCATTAAGGAACTTAAGATGCAGCCAAAGGGGCCATTCGTAGGTGGCATCTCTGGGTCTTGTTGGGGTGGGGAAGGAGAAGGAGCCGCCCCACCCCTATCCCATGAGGCCCTGCATGCCTCGTCACTGCTGGTCTGTACCTGACAGTCCAATGAGCTCTGGAAGATGGTGGCCACTGAGCCGCCAGGGGGAATAGGCAGAGGGATGGCACCTTTTCCCACTGGGGTGACCCGGTGCTGGTAGCCTAATGCAAAGTCTGGACACATTTCGAAGCAGGGTAGTTTTTGTTGAATGGGACTCGCTTGGAAAGATGTGGAAGGCGTGAGAAGGAATATGTGTTCAGGAGTGAGCACAGGCTCCTTCAGAGTGGAAAAAGCAAGCAAAGATGCATAGAGGCAGGGAAGTGAGAAACATGTTAAAGTGAGAACACAGGCTTGAAGTGCAAGCCTAACTTGCACTTTAAATGTAGGAAAAATTACACCATCTAAATGTAATCTGCATGGAACAATTACCATCCCCAGTAGCCAAAGCAACCCTCAGGAGAAAGAAGATGGAAGGCTTCACTTTCTCCAACTTCAAACTATACTGCAAAGCCGTAGTAATTAAAACAGCATGGCACCAGAATAAAGACAGACCCTAATGGAATAGAACTGAAAATCCAGAGAGAGACCCTCAGGTATATGGTCAGCTTTTCTTCAATAAAGAAGCAAAAAATATGAAGTGGAGCAAGAAAAGCCAGCGTGGTGGGAAAACTAGTCGACCACATGGAAAAAGATGAATTGAGACCTCAGAACTCAAATCAAAATAGATTAAAGACCACAATATCAGACCCAAATCCATAAGTTGCATAGAGGAAAATATAGGCAAGCCTCTCCATGACATTGAAGTTATAGGCGTTTTCAAAGATGAAATACCACTGACCAAGCAAATGGAAGTAAAGATAAACAAATGGGACTACGCTGAACGAAGAAGCTTCTGCACCTCAAAGAAAATGATCAGAATACAGAGAAAGCCTACGGAATGCCCAGCACCTATCTAATAAGGGCTTAATATCCAAGATATACAAGACACTGTTGGAACTTACAAGAAAAAAAAAAAAACACCCCACCACATCAAAAAATGGGGAGGAGAGGGGCTGGAGCGATATACAGTGGGTACGGCGTTTGCCTTGCATGTGGCCGATCCAGGTTCAATCCCTGGCATCCCATATGGTTCCTCAAGCACCACCAGGAATAATTTCTGAGCGCAGAGCCAGGAGTAACCCCTGAGCATTGCTGGGTGTGATCCAAAAAGTCCCCCCCCAAAAAAAAAATGGGGAAGAGAGATGAATAGGAACTTCTTCAAAGAAATGCAAATGACCAGAAAGTATATAAAAAATACTCTACATTACTGATCATCAGGGAAATGCAAATCAAAACAACAGTGAAATACTGTCTTACGTCAAAGAGGCT